TCAAAACATCCTAATTCAACACTAAACCACCACTGAACAAACACAACTCTACGCTCGATGAGATATTGTGTACCTTTGGTGCCTCGGTTAGTCTAGGCTCTGAACACACAGACAACCTTCAAATACCTTCACGCATGAGGCGCGCCAAGCGCCCACACAGAAACTGACCCGATCTACATTCTCGACTCGGGTCAATAGAAAGAAAACTCCGAGCGGTCAGTTTATATACCCGCCTCGGGCGGAATGGGAAACCCCGTAGCCGCTGACCATTTGACTATTCACGCACAGATTCGCACACAATAAAATAATACAAAAATAAATCATCCATTCACCCACTCACATTAGCACATTAACACGTAGACTTACCGACATATTGGGAAAATTTAACTCCCAATTATTACTTAGGCCTAGTGAAGGATGTTACCGAAAATATCAAATCCCTATATTACATTATCCGTTAACGTATACATTGCATGTAAATGAATTAGTAATTTTGCAGCATGTGTTGAGAGGTCTTCTAAATTTTTGTGGACGTCCACAATAAGCACAATAAGGGAGGGGGGGGGGTGTGGGTCAAATGTTTTAAGACGTTTTATTTTCGAAAAACATCCAGATGATGTTATGACATTAAACTGAATTAGATCTTAAGTCGGCATTCAATATGGTATTTTCCTCAGCCATTGATATAAAATTAAGTTTTTCTGATTTTAATGTCAGAGAATCACAAATTTAATTGTGTCAATTTTGAATTACTAAAAAATCGTCATTTGGAAGGAGGGGGGGGGGGGGGGACTTGGGGTTGGGGGAGGGGGGGGGTGTTGGGGGGTGGAGGAGTGCGGGTCGATGTGGATGCCCACATGCGGAACTAAAACACAAAGCACTTACTTTAAAAATTAAATTTAAAAAGTGCATATAAAATGTAGATTATACATTAAATCGGCAGTTCTTGTGGCAAATGTATCAGAAATGTTTTCAGTCTTTTCATTTTCCACAAGAGGTTATAGCTTTAAACGATTTAGATCTAAAGTCGGCATGCTTGATATTATTTTCCTCAGCCTTTGTCAAGAAACTAAGTTTTTTTCTGATTTTAATTTTATAGAATCACAAATTAAATGTATCAATTTTGAATTACAAAAAAAAAAAAAAAAAAACACGTCTTTTTGGATGCGTGTTGGGGGGGGGGGGGGGGGAGGTGTGGTCTAAAAATTACAAATATTTTTGGACATCATAAATGGATGACTCCTAACTTAAGAATTTTTCTTAAGAAGTTTTCTCGATAACTGTTACTTTTACTTTACAAAACGTATTGTTAAATGTTGCACATATAAAAGTAATATACTTTTTTTTGCCTTAAAGCTAAGATTTCAAATGTGTATTTTTTATGCAGCACAACATATTTTTTTTTCGAAAACAGTCATTTATACTTTACAAAAGGTATTGTTTTATTTGAATATAAAGTAGTAGTAATATATACATTGTTATGTCTTAATGCAAATCTATTAATTTGTATGTAGCATAACTTGCATATTTTTTCTCGAAAACCATTACTTGTAATTTTCACTAGTGTTTGATATTTTAATGTAATACAAATTACAATGTTTTGCCTTAATGCATAGCTTTTGATCTTTCATGTAGCACAGCTGCTATTTTTCTTCTCAATAACTTTTATTGGTACTTTGCAATACGATTTGTTTAAAGTTAGATATAAAAAAGTCATATTATAAACATCAAAAGTTGTAGTCGTTAAGGAAAAATGCGCAAGAAATAAATCACCGAAATTCTGATTTTTCATCATAATGTGTTTCTTGCACTTTTGGATTCTTTGTCCATTTCTGAACTGAGAAAGTAATAACTTAAATGAGGGAAAAAAAAAGAAAGTTTAATATATTTTTAATGAACCTTCATATGAAAAAAAATGATCGCATTTTTCTAATATTACACGTTCACTAAGAAATGTTTGACATCAACCATCACGTTGTATTTGGCGTTATTGGAAAGATAGATCTCTCAAGTAATCGTTAATTATAATATCCGACCAAATCGAACACACAAAGCATTCAACTTGCTTTATAATCCACACAGGAATGGTATTCTCCTGGCCTAGATTTTGCTAGTTTTCCGGTTTTTCTCAGTTTTTTACAATAAAAAGGGTACTGCTTTTTAAAAATCTGTGATACTATTCCCACCATACTGTCAGTACTTCTTCTAAAGGTAATCATACAACTTTGGTCACGAGGGAATTGAGTTGGCTTTGATAGAAACAAATTTTATGATAAAAAATATGCAACTTTTTCAAATTTTTGAATACTAAGAATTGTGAAATTTTTCGGACCTTGTTGAATTCAGACCAGTAGCTCTTTCAAAATGATGTCGAGACATAAGTTTTAATATGTACTGAAATATAAGCAGTGTAAATTTGATTGTTTACAATTAAAAAGAATAAAAAACCGTAGCGTTTTTAAAAGTGCCGAAACATTCAAAATGGTTGATATTTTTTTTTCTGGTTTCCATGACAACCTACATTGTTTTAAACTTTGTTTTGCTGTTTAGTACTTTTTTATGTTCAGAACATGACAGAAGTATTTAAAATTCTTCAGATGTTAAATTGTAAAAAATAGGAAAAAAAAACTAAGCCTGTCCCTCTAAATCTATAAACGTTACTTAACTACATGTGTTTCTATGTTTTATTACAGATAATTTTTTATGTTTAAATACACATGAATATAATTATGAAATGTAAAATTCATTAGGTATTACCTTTTTACTTGAGTATATGTCGTTCGTGTTCTATTTACGCTAACACAGATTTATATCCGGCATATTTATTTGACATAATAATTTCTCTTGGACACCTTGTCATCGGTTAAAAAAAAATTTGGTGTGAAACACAAACTATTTTTTAAAGGTTTTCTTTCTATATATATGAAAATGTGATCAATATTTTTACAAAAAGAATGTATGTTTGTCAATGTCCATTTATAGTTATTAAATCTATTTGAACACCGGAAAAAATACTATACCTAATCAATTTCATAGAACGAGCCGGCCCGCGGCATAACATACGTCGCTATTTAGTTGTTTTTTCTACTTTTCAGTAATTCATAATTTGTGAATTCAACAGTACCAACGCTGCCACTGAAAATATTTCTTTAAAACACTATAAGTAGCTCGTTAAGGACCATAACCCCCCTTCCTCTTCACCCCCCACGTTTAAAATCGTTGGCTCTGCTTGTAAACATTTAGAGTGAACACAGCTCACTAAAACCATGTAGGGGTGGGGAGGTAGGGAGCGCGTTTACAGCTTGTTTTCTAGGCGCGTTTGCAGCTTGCTTTCTAGCGGCTCCCAGAAGAGAATTATATATATAGATGTTAAATTGGTGTTTAATTCAATCCTGTGGTCAATGTGATTTTATCAATAAGTGTATGTAATAAAATGGCTCTATTTATCTCTACATTTTCACGAGTTTTATTTATGTAGAATGATTTTAAAAACTTCTATCTTCTTCTTCTTCTTCGTTCTTAATTTTTAGTGTTGGAAGGAATCGAGCCCAATCTGCCAGAGGGTTTGAACTCGAGACTTTTTTCAAATTTATCAACCATGAACTTTGCCGACTCGACCATGCTTCCATCACAATTAAGGATTACGTGTCAACTGGTTATGCGCCATTGAGGCCATTGACTCCGATTTCAGCCTGCTTTTCTTTTTGGATTTGCTTCCATAGCCTTTGTACAACCAAGAACAAACTACAAGGCAGCAGTTGTTTAGTTTTGGAGTTGTCTCTCCTAGAAGAGTGGCTGTCCCCAGCTAACGAGCCTCATCTGCCCGAGGGTTCGAACTCGAGACTTTTCGGTTTAGCAACCATGAGCTTTACCGACTCGACCACGCCGACCCCCCCCCCCCCCCCCCCCGAGGGTTCGAACTCGAGACTTTTCGGTTTCTATTTATCTTCATATTTTTACGAGTTTTATTTACGTAGAATGATTTTAAAAAACTTTATTTATTGCCGTCTTTGGTGTGAGTTCGCTGATGTAGAACATTGAGTAGTTTATGTACACACCATCAGAGGCGTAGCGAACGGGGGCATGGGGTGACACCACAAATTGCGCACAAATTGACACCATAAAGCGGAACGGTAAGGGAGGGTAAGATTACGTAGTTAGTCAAATTTGAACGAAAACAGACTGACAGCTCGTTAGCTGGGAAGATCAAACCACCAAGGGGAGAAAACTCGGAAATCAAACTTGATTGGACCCCGTTAAGCTATACGATTACAAACATTGAATTCCTTCTTTCTTCTTCTTCTTTGTTTTTAATTTGTAGTGTTAGGCGGTATTTTCCTTTAACACAATTCGAACAGATATGCGACGTATTGACTCCGATTTCAGCCTGCTTTTTACAAGCTTTTATTTAGTTCGCAATTTTAGTGACAAAAGCTTTTATGAAAGAAATCAGATTCATTCTATTTTTCCATTGCATTAAAAAAACTTTTCGCAATAAAGATTTTGTATGTTTGTTTTATATAAAATAGTAGAAATGAAGCGAAAATGATAGGAGAATTGTTCCTGTGGGCGGTGTGAGACGTTAATGGAGCAAAACAGAAACAGACAGATGTTTTTAAAAAAATGTTTATAATTTACATTAATAAATGTAATGCAAAGTATTACAAAAAATTCATCATTGGCTGCTATGTAAATCAACCACAAACTATTCAAATGGCCTCAGGATCAAAAACTAAACTGCTGATTGTAAAAGTGTTCGACCTGTTTCTTTAATTTCTAATCAAAAACTAAACTGCTGATTGTAAAAGTGTTCGACCTGTTTCTTTAAACTCTAATCAAAAACTCAACTGCTGATTGTAAAAGTTTTCAACCTGTTTCTTTAATCTCTAATCAAAAACTAAACTGCTGATTGTAAAAGTTTTCAACCTGTTTCTTTAATCTCTAATCAAAAACTAAACTGCTGATTGTAAAATGTTTCGACCTGTTTCTTTAATCTCTAATCAAAACCTAAACTGCTGATTGTAAAATGTTTCGACCTGTTTCTTTAGATCACGTGTCTGATCTTCTAGAAACTTCAGCTTGTCCGTACCCCTGGCCTCATCAACGATCGCGGTCAACAGACATTCGGCCTTGACCTTCAGCTCCAACAGGGACTCCTCGCGTGACCGCAGCTTCATGACGTCATTGCCCAACCGCCGGATCTGTTCGATAACTGGATTCTCCAGTGTTTCTTTCAAGTGCTGGAATGTCTGGCTGTCTATGGTGACATTGGTCGTTGTATACCGGAATCCTTGTGCTGCATCTCGCACGATGTCAAGCATATTTGAACTACACGTCACATTTTGTAATGCATTCATTAAAACGTCAATGGTCGTGTTAAGTTCCACAACTGGGGACTGCAGCAGATTCAAACCTCGTTTCAAATCATCCAGACGGTGTTTTAGTTTTGTATTCAACTCAGTAAAACAATGGTTTAGTAGCAACAGCTTCCTTTTTGGTTCGCTATTCGCAAAATCTCTGCGAGTGTAAGATAATGTAATCCTTGCTTGAATTTGTATTAGTGTTTTCACCATTCTGTTTTTATCGGCTAAGGTGCCTTTATTGTTGAATAGCACTGCTCGATGCTGACATTCATTAAACAAGTCTCCTAAAGGCCCTTCTTGATTTACACACCAAGAATCAAAACTCACATCACCATTACGAGATTGGAACTCATCCCCGTGCGTCATAATAACGATACAGAAGTCTTTAATGATATTCTCTCCAAAAATATCTTTAAGAATGCTAACAATTTTCGCGTCTTCACTCGTGAAGATTTCCCCATACTTCACAACAAGCAGCAAAGCATGGAACTCAGAACAGAAGCTATTTATAGCTTCCGTCATGTTCTTGCACGTGCATCTCACGCTGTCAATCAAATCTAGATCGGTATCCATCAACCCCGGCGTGTCGACGATGTTAAGGAGAATGTTGTCGATTCTTTTGGCGTGCAGCTCCACGTGTTTAGTGCAAGCCGTGGTGTTGTTGGTGTGTTTAAACACATTCGAGCCCACGATTGTGTTACCCGATGAGCTTTTGCCGACTCCGGTTTTTCCGATTAAAAGACAGTTGAGCGTGTCCCGGTTAGTGGGAGTTGATGTAGATGCTCCCATGGCTACCTGCAACGGTATAGAACAATTAATCTACATGTAGCTACCTGCAACATTAGAGAACAATTAATATACGAATGGCTACCTGCAAGATTAAATTAATTGATATACATATGGCTACCTAAAAGAGTGGAGAATAATTGATATACGTATGCCTTCCTGAATCGTTAGATTAATTGATATTCAAATGGCCACAAGCAACATTAGAGAACAATTATTATACGAATGGCTACCTGCAAGATTAAATTAATTGATATACATATGGCTACCTAAAAGAGTGGAGAATAATTGATATACGTATGCCTTCCTGAATCTTTAGATTAATTGATATTCAAATGGCCACAAGCAACATTAGAGAACAATTAATATACGAATGGCTACCTGCAAGATTAAATTAATTGATATACATATGGCTACCTAAAAGAGTGGAGAATAATTGATATACGTATGCCTTCCTGAATCGTTAGATTAATTGATATTCAAATGGCCACAAGCAACATGAGAGAACAATTAATATGCGTATGGCTATCTGCAAGATTAGATTCACTGATATACTTATGGCAACCTGCAGCTTTAAAATAATTGATATACGTGTGGCTATCTTAAAAAAGGGAAAATTAATGGATATACGTATGAGTACTTGCAATATTAGATTAATTGATATACGTATGGCTATCTTAAAAAAGGGAAAATTAATGGATATACGTATGAGTACTTGAAATATTAGATTAATTGATATACGTATGGCTATATTAAAAAAGGGAAAATTAATGGATATACGTATGAGTACTTGAAATATTAGATTAATTGATATACGTATGGCTATCTTAAAAAAGGGAAGAATAATGGATATACGTATGAGTACTTGCAATATTAGATTAATTGATATACGTATGGCTATCTTAAAAAAGGGAAGAATAATGGATATACGTATGAGTACTTGAAATATTAGATTAATTGATATACGTATGGCTATCTTAAAAAAAGGGAAGAATAATGGATATACGTATGAGTACTTGAAATATTAGATTAATTGATATACGTATGGCTATCTTAAAAAAGGGAAGAATAATGGATATACGTATGAGTACTTGAAATATTAGATTAATTGATATACGTATGGCTATCTTAAAAAAGGGAAGAATAATGGATATACGTATGAGTACTTGAAATATTAGATTAATTGATATACTTATGGCTATAAATAGACACATTTCTTTGAGTTAACTCTAGTACTTTATTCTTATTTACACTTCTTATCTATGACTCTACCTTTCGTTAACTGCTTAACATGTACACATCAGCTACACATCATGACACAGTGAAAACTGAAGGGACGTCACCATGAGATGCCTAGAAGAAACTCTGCTTTCGTAGAAATGACCACACTATCAATTTATAAACCTAGGTCCCGAAAGCAGCTAAACTCTACTTCATAGGCAGTAATGAAAGCCATGTTGTAATAGTTGAAGTTCACTATAATTTGTTTACACTGTCTAATAGATCAATAATTAAAGCTATGTACTAATAGAAATTTACTATACTTTGTATACAGATAAGTAATGAAAGCTATGTCCTAATATAAGTTCATTATACTCTGTATACGGTGATAAGTATTGAAAGCAATGTCCTAATAGAAATTAACTATACTTTGTATACTGTGATAAGTAATGAAACGTATGTCCTAATGAAATTCACTACACTTTGTGTACAGACAAGCAATGAAAGCTATGTCCTAATAGAAGTTCACTATACTTTGTAGCCTATCCACTATCTAATAGATAACTATTAAAAGCTATTTCGTATTAGCGGAAGTTTACTAAACTTCACTATATTTAGCATACATTATCTAACAGATATAAACTCCAGCTAATATCTACTTACTAGACGTTGAAACAAAACTAACCAACCAACACACGAAGGTCCGTTTAGATATCTTTCAGTTTCATGTTCGACGTATATTTCCAACTAAAACAAATCGGACAAAGTACTGTTATCAGAAGTGTGCTGTGTCGAATTCAATTCTCAGGTGTTTGGATCGATGTGGTAATAAAAGCAATCGATTTCATGGTTTACGTGGTCAAACCTTCGAATAAAAAAAACACACATTAGTATTGCAAATTGGAAATCTATGAGTTAAGGAAAGTTCTTGTATTTCGTACAAATTACACGTGTAAGCTTGGTAAGAAGATATCTAACAGTTAGGGAAAGTTCTTGTATTTCGTACAAATTACACGTATAAGCATGGTAAGAAGATATCTAACAGTTAGGGAAAGTTCTTGTATTTCGTACACATTACATGTGTAAACATATGTAAGAAGATATGTATTTGTGATAAAATAAACATGCCTTGGTGCAATGCTTGACCGGGGTTCATTTCAGACAGTTTCCTCCACGAGGAAATGTGGGTACTTAAAACTTGAGGGGAGAGGGGGAGGGGATAGTTGAGACAAAAATGTCTTTTAAATAACATTAAGGTTTAATTTGAGACTAATACACAGTGAGGCGATTATAAAACTCACTTTAATTAGTTCAACTACCTGCGGTTGTGACAAGGAATTAAGATCCAAAATAACAAAACAATGACAAGTTTAGCTTAGCTTCGTCAAACAATACTACGTTTACAATAGCTTCAAAAAGAAATGACAAGTTTAGCTTTACTTAACCAGAAATAACAAGTATAGCACGTCCAAAATTTGGCAAGATTTAACTAAGCTACTCGGGTAACCATGAAATAACAAAAGCACTGTTGACAAAAAATTAAAAAATTACCTCAAGCCCAGCAACCCTTTCTAGTACTAAAACTGCACGAAGTTACTCTGAGATAACACAAGTGTCGCAACACACACGTTGTCAACACAGCCTATTTTTAACCCAACTGATAAGCTGGGAAACGTCTTGGCGATGACTTGCTTAAATACCATGGGTTACAATTTCAACACACATTGCACGGCGTGGCCAAAGCGGTAGAACGCTAACCTGCTATCCCGAAAGTCCAGATTTCGAATCCGGGTTCACGTCAGTAGAGCGTCCCTGAGTCCACTCGGCTCTATTGGGAACCGAACTCATATTAAGAGAAAGTAAAGGCGGCTTGGCAAAGTGATAACCACACCTTTACTTAAAATGCCGAAACATATGAACTCTACTTCATCTGCCCAATGTACCAAGAGGATTCTTTACTTTTACTTTACATTGCAACCAACGTGGGACGATGTGTTTGAGTGGTAGAGTGTTTGAATGCTAACCCGAAAGTCTCGAGCTCGGGTCCAGAGTCGTAGCACATCTCTGAGTCGACCCAGCTCTAATGGGTACCTGACGTACTTTAGAGAAAGTAAAGGCGGCTGGGCATAGTGCTGACCACACTATCTCTTCATATGCGAGGTCACAGAAAACAAGTGAATTTAAGATAATTAGCTGTTAAATGCACTGAAAATAAGAAAATAGAATAAACCTGCTTTCTTTAATAAAAGCTTTGGTCGTTAATACATGTAAGAGATCTCATGAGTGACCAATTATTAATTTTTTTTTTGCCGTTAAACGACAGAAAGTTACTTAAATTTGAGTAAAAGTTTGTGGGGTTTGAATGTCCCACCCTACCCTGAAATTCCATATCACCCCATGGACCAACAGCTTGCAAAGGAAATTTAACTTACATTGTGCCACGCGTTTTTAAATCTTAAAACTAATCAAAGAATGAGAATATAATATTTGTACTTTAAAATGGTAGTACTGAAAATGTTTTAATAATCATTGAATATGCCATTGTAGATCTTAAATATGAACATGTCTTAAAAATCACGTCACTCAAAATTTTCTATGTATATATCAAGTTCGTACATGACAAGCTAGATGGTGAAAGTGACCTTATGTCAGGTGATTATATATCTGGGACATTATTTACGGGTAACGGGAGCTAGGCGTGGTCAGGTTGGTTAAGTTCATAGTTTCTGAACCGATTCGTCGGGAGTTCGTACCCTCGGGCAGATGAGGCTTAATAGCTGGGGACAGCAACTCTTCTAGGAGAGACAACTCCAAAATCAAACAACTGCTGCCTTGTAGTTTGTTTTTGGTTGGACAAAGGCTATGGAAGCAAATCCAACAAGAAAAACAGGCTGTGATCGGAGTCAACGGCCTAAATTTCGCATAACCTTTGACACGTATACTTAATTGTGCTGGAGGGAATTAATTTTAAGCACTAAATTTAAGATCGAAGAAGAAGAATACCAGGTAATTATTTAAAGAGACATCATATAGGATAAACATTTAATGGATCTTTACGTAAGGTAAACTATTTCTGGGATCTTATGCGAGGTAAACAATCAATTATACTTCGTGTAAATTAAACAGTTAATAATAGTTTTGTAAGGTGAACATTCATTTTGATCTTATTTAAGATAATCATATAATGATAAATTATATAAGGCAAACTTTTTAATGTGATATTATGTATGGATACCTTATGTAGTATAATATTTAGTAAATTGACATTTTGTATAGTAAAAAAGTTATTTACATAAAATTGTCACTATTAGAAACTTAAGAAACGTGTATATTTATATAACACACTCTTTGAAATGTAGAAAAGGTAGGGAAGCTGTTGATATTATCGCGCGACATTATACGGCCTAGTTATCTACCTTATGTTCGATTGTGCATTTATTTTTATAAGCATTTATATAGTTCACAAAGTCTGTGATTTATGGAAAATTTGAGGCTCAAGTTTTAACCTATCTCAAATGCCGCGATTTCATTTAAATCTTCCAGATACTTTTTTTATTCAATGACAAAGCAACGACATCCATTTTAATCTAATTAGATTTAAATATTTAAAATTAATTTTAAAATTTCTAAATTTAGTAGCAAAAGGGGAGATAAATACAGGGTTATCGTCCTTTTCAGTGACAGCAGTGGTACTGTCGAATTCACAAATTATGAATTACTGAAAAGTAGAAAATAAAACAACTAAATAGCGGCGTATGATACGCCGCGGGTCGGCTCGTTTAAGATAATAAGCTGTTAAATGCACTGAAAATAATAAATTAGAATAAACTTGCTTTCTTTAATAAAAGCTTTGGTCGGTAATACATGTAAGAGATCTCATGAGCGACCAATTATTATTTTTTTTGGTGTTAAACGACAGAAGGTTAATTAATTTTGAGTAAAAGTTTGTGGGGTTTGAATGCCCCACCCTACCCTGAAAGTTGTGTGTTATAATTACATGAAATACTGTTAAAATATGATCAATATTCTATAGACGAAAAACTATAATAATATGCTCAATATTCTATACATGAAAAACTGTAAAAAATATGCTTAATATTCTATACATGGACAACTGTAAAAATATGCTCAATATTCTATACAAGAAATACTGTTAAAAGTATGCTTAATACACAGTTTTAATATGCATTAAGATCGTGCCATACACTTTTAATTAAGCTTATGAAACAATTGACATACAACCAGGAATTAAATCCACTCGTCAAAATGTATCCATTACTTCAATGATCATGCTCAAAACGCCATCAGTTAAAATCACATATAACAAACAAACAAGAAAAACAAAGAATGAGATAAATAACTACTTTATTAAATTTATCTTGAAGGGAAATTGTAGTTCCCAAAGAATGGAATGTTTCTGTTAACAAAATCTCGAAAGGGATTTTAAAAACATAAATGTTTTCTCCATTTCCCTACCCGCACCATAATTCCACCATAATCCATCGTCAGTTAAAGCCTATAAATGTATTATTCTTGTAAGCGCAAATTATCAGTTTCAGTTTTGAAATTGAAAGAGTGTGTCCTTAAACCGTGTCATAATGTATACTTACAATAAACACAAATATTCAGTTTCAGTATTAATACAAGTTTTTACCTTATTCTTAGAATTCTCCCAAAACAAAATGTATTATTGTTGTAAACACAAATATTCAGTTTCAGTTTGAAATTGAAAGAGTGAGTCCTTAAACCTTGTCATAATTTATACTTCCAATAAACACAACTATTCAGTTTCAGTTTTGAAATTGAAGATTCGTCCTTAAACCGTGTCATAATATATACTTCCAATACACACAAATATTCAGTTTCAGTTTTGAAATTGAAAGAGTTCGTCCTTAAACCGTGTCATAATTTATACTTCCAATACACACAAATATTCAGTTTCAGTTTGAAATTGAAAGAGTTCGTCCTTAAACCGTGTCATAATTTATACTTCCAATAAACACAAGTATTCAGTTTCAGTTTTGAAATTAAAGATTCCGTCCTTAAACCGTGTCATAATTTATACTTCCAATACACACAAATATTCAGTTTCAGTTTGAAATTGAAAGAGTGAGTCCTTAAACCTTGTCATAATTTATACTTCCAATACACACAAATATTCAGTTTCAGTTTGAAATTGAAAGAGTGAGTCCTTAAACCTTGTCATAATTTATACTTCCAATAAACACAAGTATTCAGTTTCAGTTTTGAAGTTGAAGATTCCGTCCTTAAACCGTGTCATAATTTATACTTCCAATACACACAAATATTCAGTTTCAGTTTGAAATTGAAAGGGTGCGTCCTTAAACCGTGTCATAATTTATACTTCCAATACACACAAATATTCAGTTTCAGTTTTGAAATTGAAAGAGTTCGTCCTTAAACCGTGTCATAATTTATACTTCCAATACACACAAATATTCAGTTTCAGTTTGAAATTGAAAGAGTTCGTCCTTAAACCGTGTCATAATTTATACTTCCAATAAACACAAATATTCAGTTTCAGTTTGAAATTGAAAGGGTGCGTCCTTAAACCGTGTCACAATTTATACTTCCAATAAACACAAATATTCTGTTTCAGTTTTGAAATTGAAAGAGTGCGTCATTAAACCGTGTCATAATTTATACTTCCAATAAACACAAATATTCAGTTTCAGTATTAATACAAGTTTGTACCTTATTCTTAGCATTCTTCCAAAACAAAACAGTATTTATTTCAGACTTTTTTCTCCGGGGGGGGGGGGGGAACTTGAAATTTTCCCTGGGGCGATTACTGTTAAAAGTATATATTTTCTATATAAATTCTATTTTATTCTGGGGGCGGTAGATTTTTTTTCGAGGGGGGGGGGGGCGAGCCCTTCCGAATTCCGAAGAGATGCCTGGAATAAACTCTGTCCATCAGCAGTGTCATAACTTACACTTAGAAAAAAAAATTGTTTCAGTTTTAAAATTGAATCGATGCGATTATATAAAAAAATCGTTATAAATGCTTTCCAAGAACGCCAACTTTCAGTTTCAGTTTGATACCAGCCATATTCGATCATCACAGGACAGATATCGTTTGTTATCTGAGCGTGTAGTGGGCTGTGTTTGTGCTCTCTTTCCTCTAATCAATTTTGATTAAAGTAATTTTGATAGACATTGCTAGTGTAGAGTGGTACAGAGATAATATTTGATCACGTAAACGTCTGTAAGTTTTGACCGTTTTTGAGATTTAATTTTGTTGAGTTCATTTTTATATTACTGTGTATTAGATAGCAAAACAAATAACATTTATAGAGCAAGAGAAAAAAATACCTTTATAGAGCACTTTGGTGACAGAGTATGTTTTTTTTCGTATTCATTTTTTAAAAAAACACAAAGCATTTTGAAATAAAATATAAGGTGCGTAGGGGAATAGACTTGAAAAGTTGGTTCCAAATGTTTCCACATTTTCGTTGCCAGAAAGCATATTATTAAACCAAAATTGAACATTTTATAACATTTGTGTAATAAATAGAAAATAGCTTCCTGTTTTATCAAGGCCATAAATAGTCAAACAAATAATTACTAGTAGTATAATCGAAATGTAGCAAACACTTTTATTTTTAATTTGGATTTGTAGAGTCAGGGTGTTGTGGTGATAAAGGATGTTATATTATTTAATATAAATACAATACTACGCTGCACACCATAGTATTTTTACCATGGAAAACAATGGTTGTGACTTTTATTGTTTTACTCTCTCCGGCCATTCCGGTTGACTTCAAGGAGAGGTTAATTAAGGGCAGTTTTTTAATATATTCGAATTGATAAAATAATTGTAAATGACTTTTCAACGGCTTATATTTGATACAAAAATATAAAAATGAGTGCAATTGATATTTCCGATAAGGCTTTCAATTGTACAAATATAACTATAATTTTATCGCTTTGCCATATTTTTAAAAAGTTTAAAAAAAAAGTATAATGATTACATAGACTTTTGATGCTTATTAGTGGTGGGGGATGTAGGAAGCCAAGGGTGTAGCTGAGGCTCGGGACAGTGTTTGGTTATTTATGGAGCATGATGGTACCGGGAGTGCTTGTGTATTTTTGTGTTTGCTCGTCTATGAACAGTGCCCACACAGAGGCGTAGCAAGGGGGGAGCAGGTGGTGCGGACACCCCCGTATGGCGTACAATGGGTTGCCAAACAGGCTCGAATTAAAATATAAAAAAATCAATATGAGTTGCATTACTGAATTATATACATTTCAAATAGACGCCAGAACAAGACCTGGTTTTTATTTTAAACTGATTATCGCATCAAACTATCTTTGACAATTGTGTGACACCAAGAGACGTTACCCGGAAATCGACGCCAAGAAGATTGGATACACCTGGGGACAGTTGTAGAGGGTTGCCCAGGACAGAGAAGCCTGGAAAGCTCTTGTCAGCGGCCTATGTCCCAGGAGGGACGACAGGCAAACCTAACCTAAGATTTACAAAAAAAAACCCCAAAACAAACCCTGACTGGAATAAATCAAAATTACAAAATGGAGGTACGCTTTTCCGCCCAAGTGAATAACTAACTAAAGTAGGGCTGGGGGTGGCTGCTGAAAATTGATTTGTCGTCCCGAGAACGGAACAGCTTGGCAAGCTTCTAACGAAAAGCGAATCGCCGGTTGTTTTGTTTACTCAACCATCTGTCACCACGTCGTGTATTTTAGTTTTAATGCAAATCCGAATGGATTAACTGAGATTAGCCCAACACGACGCAACACTATTGATTATTATTGAACTATTTTCATTGTATGGGATTATCGTTCAATAAGGGTAGAAAACAAATCCTCTACACATAAATAAATATTTTATCCTTAGAATACGTGGAAAGATATTGACGTATGCTTAAACTAAAAAAATAAATATTAAAATACCCAGAACGTACAACGTGGATGGCCAGAGAAACATTTTTCTTCTTCTTAATTCTATTGTTGGTGTGGAAGGTATTCCATCCAACACAATAAGGTATACGTATCAAATGTTAACTTCCACTTCAGCCTGCTTTTCTTTTTGGATTTGCATCCATAACCTTTGTCCAACCATGAACATACTACAAGGCTGCAGTTGTTTGATTTAGTCATTGAAGATTTACTGTCCCCAGCTATCAACCTCATCAGCCAGAGGGTTTGAACTCGAGACTCATCGGCTTGGCAATCATTAGCTTGTAACGACTCGACCACGCCGACCCTGAAAAACCGTTGATGATTTAATAGCTCGGGAGCTACGACCTAACGTTTGTAAGTGTTTACAGGTACATGTGTCAAACTTAACAAATGCTAGCTAAAAAAAAACAACTTGTGCTAGGTATATATATATATATATATATATATATATATATATATATATATATATATATATATATATATATATATATATATATATATAAACCTCTACATAAGCATATATATGGCGAAAAGTTATGTGCAAAAAGCATCGTTTTCAACGTAAATTAATAAATGTTGGTATCAACCCTCTCCGGTCGTTGATTCAAAATACTCAAAAAAGCTGTATTTTCTGTGTAATTTTGCATTTGGTGCATCCCCCCCCCCCCCCCCCGTATTGGTGATAGTTTTAAAATGTGCACAGATGATTATATGTAGTCATTTTTTATAGTGGATTAACTGTAATTAATCAATTGAACTGCCAATAAGCAACTATTGAAAGTTTTTAAATACCTAGCGCAGCTATCTTTTAAATTATAATAAAATAGTTTTTTAAAATTTATATTCAATGCAGTAAACTTCCAGAAAAATGTCGGCGTCACAAGGCCAATCAGATATTGACCCACTTAACATTGTACTCATTGGAATGACCGGAGAAGGGAAAAGTTCAACGGGCGACACCATTCTGGGGTATCGAAAGTTGAGGCCAGTTTCTGCCGAGAAGTCTGGCTCTAAAGAGATACATGTTGAGAGTAAACAGTGGGACCATGGGTCAATAAATATCGTGGACACGCCAGGTATTAAAGACACGGATGCTGAAAACGTTACAATGTCTAATTTGTATGGAGCCATGGAAATTTGTAAAGAGGGGATCAATGCGGTTGTCATTGTTCTCAAATTCAAAGAAAAATGGACAGCTAAAAAACTGAAAACGATTTCCATTATCAGAGAATGTTTTGGAAAACATCTGATCCAGAATTGTGTCATTGTTATGACACACGGGGTCCATTTTGAGTTGAATGAAGAAAGTTTATCTTTTGATGAGTGGTGTCGCGTTCAAACTGAGCCGGAAGAATTAGTTCAGTTATTCCAGGCTTGTCATTATAGGACGGTTCTGTTCTATAATAAAATTCTTAAAACAGATGAGAACATTAGGAAACAGAAAGAAAGTATCCATCAGCTTTTACAAATGGTTTTACACCTCCCAGGGAGATATGTTAAGAGAAGTAACGCCAAAGCTATTACAGAACAAAGAAGATATCAACAGGTAGAAAGATCAACTGACCGAGATGGCGAAAGAAAAAAATCTGGCAACAACTTCGAGGGAAACTCGACAGACAGAAGAGGTTCTAGCCAAAACGTTCTTAGAAAGCAGGACAACAAGTATCAAACTGCTTACAGTTTCAGCACACACGGTCGGCAATCATTACATCAGACGGCAAGAAACATGTACACACATCAAACTTCACCTGGGAAAGAGGCTACGGAAAATTTTGTCAAAGAGAAAGTACTAAGAAGGAATTCTGTAATGGTTGGTACATATAGTTGAAATTAATATATTATATAGGCCTATATAATAATTATATATATATATATATATATATATATATATATATATACACATTTATATATATTTATATGGATATTATTGTGTGCTTTCATGTTTTTTTTCTGTCTAGTTCAATTTATTAAAAAAATAATCTAATTTTTTCAGCTATTAGTTTTGTGTTGTGTGTTGTTCTGTTCTTACACTTAAGAACTGTAAAATACCGATTGCTATCGCAGCATTATATACTTCTAGTATTTTTTTGATGTATTAATATATAAATATATGTATATTAATATATTTCTATTTTGCCTTTAGCAGGTACAATCTGGAAGCCCTCCAAGTGAGAAAAAATTGAACTTCCTTTTAGTTGGTAAAAAAGCGGTGGGAAAAAGTAGCTCAGGGAATTCTATTTTGGGACGTAAAATTTTTACCCCGTTAGATACATCTATGACATCAAACTGCCAACGCGATGACGTCAGAATAAACGTTGTCGACACCCCTGGGCTTATGGACGATGATGAGTCACAGAATGTAAAAACCATAACCCAAGTCTTGCCGAACATTATGTCTGACTGCCCCGAAGGGTTCGATGCTCTGCTTCTTGTATTCAAATACGGCGAAAGTTTTACTGAAGACGATGCAAAAACGTTGTATATTTTGTGATGCATCTTTGGTGATAATGTCGTGAAGGATCACTGCATCATTATTTTGACACACGGGGAACGTTTTGACTTAGACCAAGATGAAGCGGATCAGCCGCAAGCATTCCGAGACTGGCGCAGACTACAAAAAGGTGCTTTCGGGAGGCTGTTCAAGGAATGTCAAGAACGCGTGGTGCTGTTTTACAACCTGGGAAGAAATGAGGAGATGGTGAAGAAAAGAGACGCCTCTGTCGGGACACTGATGCACAAGGCGTTTGAGTTGGTGAAAAACGGACGATACACTAACGAGCAATTTAAACGATGTGTGGAGGAGAGAGGTCAACTGATAGAGGAGTATAGAGAACAACAGGTAATTATTGGACATTATAGGCACTTGCATTAAAGGTGCCGTTCAGTATGTATATTATGTATGTATATGTATGTATATATATATATATATATATATATATATATATATATATATATATATATATATATATATATATATATATAGATTATATGTATACATATATATACATATATATATACACATATATATACATATTTTATATATATATATATATATATATATTGATTATATATATACATATATATCGATTATATACATATTTTGTATATATATATATATATATATATATATATATATATATATATATATATATATATATATATATATATATATATATATATATATATATGGTGACAGGACTAATGATCTCAGGACAAAAGATACCAGGACAAAATATATCAGGACAAATGATGCCATGCGATTTAATAATTATAAAATTAACTTTCAGCGCAATCCTGATCAGACTCCGATGTCTATAAACAGAACAGTTAGTACTGAAGATACAAATACACAACCACAAGCGAGAAAAAGGCAGTCTACGACATTCTCAGGACGAATGACAAAAGCAGTGAGGTATGGTAACAACAGCAACACATGGCAAGTAACCACCACTACATTACCAGAAACACAGTTGAAATGTAGACAGTGCAGCAGGACGTTTCACGATCGTCGAACCCTGGATTTCCACATCAGAAACATCCACAAGAGGAAGTCAGTGTGTGGATTTTGTAAAACGTTTTTTGAAAACAGGGTGGATTACTCTAACCATATGAAGTCGTATCATCCACTGTAATTTACTTGTTTCAATTTTTATATTACTTTAAAGTAGAAATAAGTAGTGCAGAATATTATTCCCATTTTAAATCATTCCACTATCTCTTGTGATTTTTTTCAAACATAATATCATATTTATCAGAGGTGGGGGGGGGGGGGGGCAGGGGGGACGACATATGTTTATGTCAAGATAAATCCTCATCCAAATAAAATTTCAGCACTTTTCAAACTTTTCAGCGGTTTGGAAGCATTTAATATTTGTCTTCTATAAAAATGTAATGGGTACTAAGACCATTAGGGATTTGCAATAAAACTTTATTCAAAACCTTTTCGGTTACACCAGCAATTCTTTCATATTTTTTCTTTATACATAAAACATAAAAGCCTCATACATGACAAATGCATTGGAAATTTAAAAAAAAAAGGAAAAATAAACACTGCCATTTTTACCTTGCTGGAGTCCGTAAGGCGTCATCGAGTCGACTTAGCTGTATAGGGTACCTGACTCACGTTTAGGAAAATAAAGAACGCTAGGCATATAACTGACCACATGTGCCCTTGAGTATATTTAAAACTGATCTTTACTTCATCTGCCCCATGGCCCATCAGATTAAAAATGATAACTTAATATTTTTTTTAATGAATGTAATATAATACATCATACGCAATATTTAAGTCTAAAACTTTCGTATAGATTTAGCATTTTACCTTAATGTTTTTTTTCTTTTATGAATTTTTCTAGATGAGTTCTGTGTGTTTCACAGAACTTTCTTAAGCTTTGTATATTGCTTTCTTAATTGTACACTAATCATTGACTAATGTACACAATGAATTTAAATATTTGCTATATTTTATGTTGTATGTAAGTTTTTTGCGCACAGTTTTTTTTTCAATTTTATTGTATTAAACTCACTATCACAAAAATACATTTTTTTTCAGAATAATAAATGTATAGTCAAGTTTTGTTAGATTCAATAAATAAACAAATTAATAAGTAAAATTTACTGTAAAATGGAAATAAAAGATTAATTTGAAAGACGATTTATTTGCACCTTATATGACATCTAACAATAAGTATTTAAATAAAAGTTTCACATCTACACGAAATGCAGGCTAAATGTTTACTTACCATATATATATATATATATATATATATATATATATATATATATATATATATATATATATATATATTTCACATTGCTCAAATGACTTGGGATATATGTTAAGTTGAGAATCATAACCAATGGAATAAAAAAAATATTACATCATGACTTTTGGCGTCAAAAATGATTTGATCTGAATTAGTTTGAAACAAACTTGATTATATAGCAAGCACCGACAAAACGGTACCTAAACTAAGATAGACGCTACGACACGTGTTAGGTTATAATAGGGAAAATCGGGACGGGCTTTACACTTTAAATTTGATAGGAAAAGGGACCCCACAATTAGCCCATGTTATATTTATATTACTAATGTTGTTCAGCAGCCTACATAATTTTCATTGAGATAAATAATGGTGCAGTATGTTTTAGTATACATGACTTCTGCTAATTTAGCAAAATAAAAAATGGGCAGCCCCAATAAAGTAAGAGTCCTACAACTTGTTTAGCTTATAAGTAAATAATCCGTCTGTGGGTTACAGTCTACAGTTAAATTTATAAAAAAACAACACCAGAAATGACAAGTTTAGCTTTACTTCACTAGGAATGACAAGTGTAGCACTTCCAAAATTTGGCAAGATTTAACTAAGCTACTCGGGTAACCAAGAAATAACAAAAGCACTGTTGACAAAAAATTACCTCAAGCACAGCAAACCTTTCTAGTACTAAAACTGCACGAAGTTACTCTGAGATAACACATGTGTCGCAACACACACGTTGTTAACACAGCCTATTTTTAACCCAACTGAAACGTCTTACATTACCACACCCAATTGCATGGCGTTGTCTAAGCGGTAGAGCGCTGACCTGCTATCCTAAAGTACCGGGTTCGAATCCGGGTTGAAGTCAGTAGAGCGTCCCTGAGTAAAGGCCGAGGTCAAGAAACATACGAACTCTACTTCATCTATCAAATGGACCGCTAGGTCTAAAGAGGATTCTTTAATTTTACTTTACATGGCAACAAACGTGGCACGGTATGGTTGAGTGGCAATGTTCCCTCTAAGGACCAAGAGTGTGTGTGCAAAAAATATGTTTTGTGCGCGGTGCTAAAAATGGCTTGGGCAAGTTAATATGTATTTTAGTCTTGCAATTAAGCATAATAATGAAGGCATGCATTTTGATAAATTAATACTATAATGTGTGTGACTTATGAAACGTATGCAATTAAATGGAGATACGAATACCATCAAAATAAATAAAAAACTAATAAAAACTTTCAGTTATACTTAGACAACAAGTTATATGGTCGACTTACTATGTTAAAGTAAGACAGTCATATGGTAATAATGCTAATACCATAACGATAATACAAACGCAATAGTTTAACATATGCAACATTTAATAAAGCTGACTTAAAAACAAATATTAGCTAACCTTTCAGGGGCATTTATTGCAATTTCTCGCGTCTAGCCTTGCATTGCTTCCACACCTTATACGCTTTGTTTAAATCCACATCCTCTCCAGCATTTAGATATAATTTAGTTTGCATCAGATTCTCCAAATGTGTGGCTTCAAGTCTATTTCGTGCTTGCACTTTTATTATGTTAATAAGACTAAAACCTTGTTCGTAATCAGCACTGCATGCTTGGAAGGTACAATAATGTCACTTAACTTTGCCAGTGAGCTAAATTTTGTTCTTTGTTTTGACAAATCTTGCATATTCAGACATATAATTTACAGAAACAGATTTGAGTTTTTCACTTTATCGAAATTTGAAGTCATTGTATTGGATGGTAATTAACTGATCATTTGTTGTACGTAACCCGTCTTTGTACTTTACGCACAGTTCTTTGATATCTTTGACGCCGAACTCAAATGCACATTTTTTTTAAACCTGTAGCATAAAAAAAGATGACAAAAACTGCAGTTCATCTCCTGGAAACCTAACATTTAAATGTTCGCAGACTGATTGTATGTACTGTGTGGTTTGCCTTGTGTCGATTCTTTCGTTTAACTCACACTTTTCTTTGCTTTAATGTTCAGTGTAGTGCTGTTACGCCTGTCTCCAGAGCTAAGGCATCACTCAGTAAGCTGAGTTATTCCACTAAAAACGGTTTTGTAGAATACAGAATTGACTGGACGAAATTTAAAATAAAGGATTAGCATTTTATGTACTGTTATGCCATCAACTATAAGCGTGTGGAATTATGCTGCTCGAAGTTCTGTCAGTATGTTCTTTACAACAACTTCGTTGATTACTTGAACAAACTCAAAGGCGTATTTCTTACTTCGCCAACTGTCTGGTATTGAAACATACTTCCCCATGTGGTTATGAATCAGTTGTACCGACAGCATCGAGGCGTTCATCTTAATGATAAGAAGAACATTATCCGTTAGGATTCGAACTTTATCATCGTTTGATCGCTGGCGCTCGTTTTGCTCAATTAGTTTTCCTCGCTCATTGTAAGTTTCAACCAGCAGACGTTTAAGGTCAGTTCCATGTGAGCTGTTGTACGAAATCGCAACATTTCCTACGTAAACAAGAGACAATAGTTGACGTTTACAGTAGTCAAGCGCCCATGATTCCCAGAGCTTTCCTGTGACCAATTCGTTGTTTATGTTGGTTTTATTACAAGTAGTAGCAGCACAGAACTTACACTTCAGTCCAACCTCATCTGAATATTCGTAGATGCTTTCTAATTCAACCGAAACATTATTTGATATGGCGTATCGGTTGTTACTATAACTTTGAGCCATTCCAGTTTAAACGAATCTATCGCTTTTTTTGTGCCACATTGTTGTACTGCTTGTTACACACATTTTTCTTTTCAACATTTTCAAATAGCACACGGTAGTGGACATTTATTCCTGATTTACCTAACCAGTCTGTGAATACTGAAACAGTTCGATCCAGGTGCACGTAATAATCCCAAGAATTGGATATATATTATATAAATCCTTAAACCAAACAGAAAAAAGACATCCACCTTTAGTAAAGTAGATTTTACATCTGACTTGGGTAAACCGTCTTAGTATCAGGAGGTGGGTGGGGGTTGGGAGATGGGGGAGGGCAGTGACAATAGAAAATAAAACCTTGCATGGTCAGCTAGTAGCCACAATCCCTTTCCGGTATTAGGTGTCAGTAAACCATTAAATCAAGCAGAGGGAGGGTCACCCAGACATCACATCGGTACCCGCCCCGCTCAGTTTAGAGTGAAGTCATTAACTGGACCTGTGGTATGACAACCAAGGTCACCCCCCCCCCCCTAAGTCAATGATACCCCTTGGTTTATGTTTATGCATCAAAACACAAAGACTGTTCGTTTAACAAAACAGGCAATAAAAATGTCGCTTAATTCAAACCACTGGCCACATTTTTTCTTGTGAATCAGGCTAGCCCGACGTTCTGATAATCTGTGCGCGGGGTCAGAAAATGTCTGCGCGGCACATTTGAAAGTACTGCGCGGCCGCGCAGCCGCGCAGCTTAGAGGGAACACTGTTGAGTGGTAGAGCGTTTGAATGCTAACCCGAAAGTGTCGAGTTCGGGTCCAGAGTCACACATCTCGGAGCCCAACCAGCTCTGATGGGTACCTGACGTACGTTGGAGAAAGTAAAGACGGCTGACCCCCCTATCCCTTCATATACCAAGGTCACAGAAAACAGGTGAATTCCATATCACCTGCCCTATGGACCGCCAGTTTCCAAAGGTAACTTAACTTACAATGTAGCACAAGTTCTTAAATCTTATAACTAATCAAAGAATAACTATGTAATATTTGTACCTTGAAATGGTAAAATACAGAAAATGTAAAAAAATCATTGAATATGTCATTGTAGAACTTAGATCTGAAGATGTCTTACGCATTACTGCACTCCAAAGTTTCCTTGTATACATTACGCTTGTACATGACAAGCTAGATTGTGAAAGTGTACTTTTGTAAAGTGATATTTCTGTGATATTCTACCAGGTAAAGGAAGCTAGGTGTGGTCAGGTCTGTTAAGCTCATGGTTTC